AAGTCTTTTTTCCTCCGCTTAAACTTCGCTCCCAGACAGATAGGTTCACATATAATGAAACATAAGGGTATATTAAAATTAGAACACATAGATGGCAAAAAATGCATTACCTGGAGGGGCTCTTCAGATGGATGAGGAAGAGCCAAGGGCTGGACCAATAAAGCCAATTGCATTGCCGAGGTTGTCAAAAGGTCCACAGTGCATGGTATCTGTTACACAAACAACAAGGACCCAATCATCTACAACTAGTGCTTTAATAAAAATATGTATGGATAATAAGCTTCTCACTCCATAGAAAGATGAAAGAGTATAATGCAGAAACCATAGAGGGAAGAATAACACAGAGACAAAACAATGCAAAGAAGTTCCATACCTGATTGATAGTACACCTCATGTACCGTGGGCTGCAATTTCCAGTGTCCCTAACAATATAGTCACTTGTGGCAGGCTTCAAGTGGGCAAAAAGGGAAATCAGGAAAAAAACAGTAAAAAGAAAAAAGTTAGATCAATATGAACCTTTAGGAGACAAGCATAACCATTTGAAGAGAAGATAATTCAGCTGCATATGCAACAGTCCAATACAACCAATCAAGGCATTAGAGCCAAACATTACTAAATGAAATGATAATTTACCGGAGGGGGATTGGCTTGGTTTCCTTGTCGGGTTTCATGCAGAACTACAGTAGCATTTGGAATAGGGCGCGGGATTTGATTGGGATCAACTTTTGATGGGCTGGTATGGCCAATAGAAGGACTTATTGAAGCCACTGCCTGATTTGGAAGAGGAGGCGCCATTCCATACATACTTGGTGGTTGCATCGAACCAGGGATAGCAGAAGGTGGAGCCCCCTGTCAATGAGTAATTTCAGAATATGCACCTACATGAAAGTGGAACTACAGTAAAAGCATACCGAAACCAACCTACTTGATCCTTCATGTGATCCACATAATTAAAGGATTTCAATAGAAAACAAAACACTACACTGGAATGTGCCATGTACTTTAAGGGTCTTTTTGAATTAAATATAAATTTTATGTAAGATGATTATACCTCTTCTGATTAAGAAGGGATAGGTAGGTTGTTATAGCCTCGATTGTGAAAGATAGTTACCCTTTTCAGATGGTCCACCCAAACTGCAAAGGTGGTGTACTATACTTCGATAATGTTTAAATTTTTCTTGCTTAAGGAAACTTATATACTTAAGATTTTTCTTTTACAAGTACTTATACACTTGAGATATATTTTGTAACAAACTTATAAAAGGATTTCTCTATTTATAGTTTGAAAATTTTAGATAAAGTAAATAAATGATACTGATATCATTCTCAAGTTACTCATCAACAGCAACAAACAGTAACCGGTTTATGAATATTATTCATTCTTTCTATCCTAAAGTCATGAAGCATCTCTTCAACACTAGGCCCCTTGAACACTTTTAATTCCTTAATGCCAGAACCCAAAAGGCCAACATTTCTTGATGGTTATTAAAAATAATAAGTAAACACAGAGAATTTGATTAAAAACACATCTTCTGTGGCTTGTTGATCCAAAAGATGTTGGTGCAAATCAAAACATATATATCCTATGTTCTTTTGTAGTCTATCACAGGCAAGAACTAAATATATATCTCAGCTTCAAAGATTACACAAAATAAATTATACTTAACTAATGAGTTTAGTGAAAATTCTTAACACCAGGGACCTAAAGCAAACTCTATTGTTTTTTCCCCTTCAACAGCGTATATGCACATGAGTATTAAAAAAAATTTGGGAAAATACATAGATTTCACCTTCCAAAACAAGTACAGTAAGATAGGCATATAAGGATCACCTGATGGGGTGGCAGTTGCCACGACTGTGTTCCATAAGGAGCACCCATGGGTGGAGGCATGGCTTGACCAGGTGCTGCAAATGGGGAGGAACCTGAAGGAGGTGGCACATTCTGAAATGACCCTGAAAATGGTGGTGGTGGTTGTGCTGTAACTGGTGTTGTGCTGATAGATGATGAACTTCCAAAGGGTGAGCGCATGCCTGAAGGCTGAGAAGAACCGCCAGGTGAAACCATAGCTGGTGAAGGAGCTCCAAATGGTGGTCTCATTGTATTGCTTGGAGGAGGAAAACGTGCTCCTCCCTGCATCATTCCCAACCCACCTGCTGGTGGCCCATTACTAACTGAGCTAGAAATGCTTGATGGTGGCGGCACAGCAGGACCTGTTGTCAACGGAGAAGAAGAAAAAGGACCCGGAGGCCCTGGACGAGGACCCAAAGCAGAAGGAAAAGACCCAGGTGGCGGGGCTGCACCACCCATAGGAGGCATTACACCAGCAGGAGGTGGTCGAGATGCAAAGGGAGGAACGGACTGAGCCACAGGAGGAGGCAATCCAGTGTGTGGAGGACCACTAGGAGGTGCAGGACCTCTCGGGAACACACCAGGTGGTGGAGGTCCTGGACGACTAACAGGTGGTCCACCAGCAAAAGGTGGCTGCTGCCCAAATGGAGTATTAGGCCTAGGAGCACTAGGTGGCTGATTGGGCCTATTGACTTGTAGATTTTGCATACCACCAGCAAGTGCATTAGGGTTATAATTGGGTGGTGGCGCATTCCTTGGTCTAGGTCCCCCTGGAGCTGCCATTGATTATTTCTGAATTTCCCAAAACTCTAGAAGAGATACCAGAAAAAAAGTTCAATAAATAAATAAAATTAGTAGAAAAAACATCAGATCAGCAATCTTCACGATATCAAACATTCAGCAAGCCAATAAAAAAACCGTCTTTAAGCCATATTGATCTAAATGAAACAAGTCCATAATATCAACCACAAAAGAAAAATAATCATGCAGAATATCAGATGCTGATTCAACAATCAAAAATAACATCAGATACTGATTCCCCTCCCCCTCCTTTCCACCTTCATTTCAGCACATGCAACCCAAAGAAGCTGGAAGACGGACAATAACATACCGACACCTAGAAATAGCATCAGGGAAAGGTCCAATCCCAAAGCCGGTCAAGATAAAACATCACCAGCTCCAAAACAACAGAAATTAGCTAAGAGAACTCAAACATCTCAAGAAACAAAAATAGAGCTGATAGATGTAACAGAGAAGAAGATGAAGGCGGAGAACTCCTAGATCTGGAAGCAAAGAATATGGGGCGTACACGGTTCCTCCAGAGATAAACTGAGAGATTTAAGAGAGGGGGACTAAATTCACATACAGAAAACCTAAGTTGCTCGGACTCGGCAGTTTGGGCGCCGCACCCGAGTCGACCCAACACTGACATGGGTAAGGGTGTGGGATCTGTGTCGGATCCGGCCAAATGAGATCGGGTGTGTCGAACAACAATTTGGGGAAAAAATTAAAATTTTGATTTCTCAAAGTAGAGATTTGAAAAGATGGAAACAGAATTCCTTCAATTCCGCTGCTATGTAGTAATTTATACTAGTCCTTTTGTCTCCTTTGAAGCTTTTTGGCTTGGTTAATCTTCTTGTTCATGTTGCAAGTTACTGAAATCTCCAAGGTTTTTTTGGGAGCAGACCTGAGAATGGGAGGTGGACTACTAGACTTACGCTTATTGGTGAAGGCTCGAATAGGTCATGATGTTTTGTTTTACATACAAAAACAGCAAACTGAAAAAGTTTGTTGGGGAAGAAGATTCAAAGAAGGAAAGAGAGAAGAAGGCACAGAGACAACAAGAACAAAAGAAGCAGAAGACGAATAAATATAAACATTAAGTTTATAAAATATATTTCTGAAATATAAGGATAAATATATATTAATTTATTTTGAAAAAATGAAGATAAACATTACATATACTAAATTAGAGTGTATAAAATGAGGAGAAACATTATTAAGGGGAAACTTTAATTGCTGAATCTGGAACTCCGAAATCTCGTTCAGATTCCCAATTACCCCCATCAAGCTTCAAGAAATTTGCTTTGAAACCTAAGACTCCACAAACCTTCCAAATAAATGGCAATAACACAGATCTGAATCCAGATGAATGAACTTAAAAATAGTTTTGAAGAAAATTGTAAAGGAAGGAGGTAACAGAAAGATGAAAAAAAGGAGAATAGAAAAAAATAAGAAAAAGAAGAAGAGGTACCAGGAACGATGGAATTAAGCCAATCAATAACTTCCCTTCTAGACCTGAGTTTCAAAAGAGAGGAAGAATTGGAAAGAGATAGCAAAGACAAGTCTTTAACTGCGTAGTGATAATCAAATATGTGCTTTGAAGGCATATTTTTATAGCTATATTTTAAATTTTAAGTATATCTTTTGCCTCATAATTATTGCATATTTTGATAGCTATATTTTTAAATTTTTTAATTTATTTTTTGCCGAATCCTTGCACACGTATCTGTACTTAGATTCATATTCCCGGATCTTAAAAATTAGATCATGAAGGATCCGACCTTTGGATCCACACCCATGTCAGACACCCGCACCCGAATCGGAGCAACATAGGAGAAAACTGGTCTCTTTGGCAAGAGCAGAATTTCTGTGGCGATATAGATGAGTCCCAACTACAGGATACCAACGAGATTGATTAAACAGTGAGGATAATTTGAGAATTAATTCAGCCTTTTCAGTTTCTTATCGGGATGTACAAAGAGCTAAAGCACAACAAAATGCAAAGTAGCTAAATAGGGATGATATGCATCAAAATAATACCCTCTTTAGAGTTTAGGGCTTAGGCCATTGAGAGAAGAAGAACCCAAACTAGCATCGGATGTCATTTTAAGGAAGAGTTAGGGGACATACTTTGTTGTGCTTGGGCGTTGCAGAAGCTCACATCATAATAGATATATAGAAAATCACACAAAAAGAAGAAAACTAATTGCCTCCAAGAGAAGGGATCAAATCTTAAAAGTTGAGGCAGAAAAGAACAAATAAAGAGACTCAACTTGAAAAAGAGCGAAAAATTTAAGACAATAGAATGGGTAGATAATTAAATATAAAGATTCCTTTTGAATACAGTCTTATCTATTCTGATAAGATAGAGCTCTTAGTTCGGTTCAGTAGAATGCGGGTCTCCAAAACCCAATGTCTTAGGTTCAAATCCAACAGAACTTGATTTTTTTCTTTCTATATTTAATTAGACTAAAATAGATACTGTAATTTTCACAATAATCGATATTTGACCTCATGTGCATGTGAATTAAAGAAAGGAAGAGGTCCATCATAAAAAGATGTTATTGTTAACTAATTAAAGGTACAGCTGATCACCATGCCTATATTGTAAATATGTAATTACCAACAATCAAGCCAAAATAATAGGAATTAGACCTAACACGTTTCCAAATAGAAAAACTTTAATCATCTCTATAATCGTGCATTTCTTCCACTGAAATGGTATAAGACTATTATTCCTCCAAAAAAGAGTTATGTTATTAACAAACGAGTCAAATTGTATGACTTTCTTTTTTCTCTTTCAATTCTTCATAATTATTAACTGAAAAGACGAATAGGAAAACAGAACATAAACAGGAGGTTTGAAGACAAGCTCTGGACTCTAAAGGATTCAGATTTGAGTAGGACTAAGACAAAATACTGAGGGTGCAAGTTAAGTGATGCTATCACGAGGAAGATATCGAAGCGGGGATTGATGCATAAGTCATCCCAAAGGGAGGAAATTTCATGTATCTTAGGTCAACAATCTAAGGAAATGGGAGATTGACGATAATGCTACACATCGTATTGGAGTGGAGTAGATGAAATGGGGGCTTGCATCTGGTATCTTGAGTGATAAGAATGTGTTACTAAGGGTTAAAGGGAAGTTTTTAAGAGTGGTTGTTAGACCAGCCCTCTTGTATGGGGCGGAGTGTGATGGTCAAGAACTCACACGTGCCAGAAAATAAAGTTTAAATAAGGATATTGAGATGTATGTGTGGGTATACTAGGAGGGATATGATAAGGACCGAAGACATCTGAGATGAGTTGGGAGTGACCTCCGTGGTGAATAAGATAAGGGAAGTGAGACTCAAATAGTTCGAGCATGTGAAGACGAGATGCATAGATTCCCCAATAAAGAAGTGTGAGAGGTTACCTATGGTGAGAGGGATGAGAAGAGGAAGAGGTAAGCCGAAGAAATATTAGGGAAGAGTGACTACACAAGACATGGCACACCTTCAGCTTATCGAGGACATGATCCTTTATAGGAGGAAGTGAAATGAAGAAGTGAAATGAAGGTTGAGGATTAGGGTAGAAGGTCAATAGTAGTTGAGCACTGTCTAGTTTCCCATATAAGTACTATTATTACTCACCTGTTATCTTATTCTCCGTTTTTTTGTTATTACATGTTGTCTCATTTGCTTTATTAACACTCTTCTGTTATCTTATTCTTACATTTCTATTATTATATGTTATTTTCTTTTGCTTCAGTTATCGTATTATTTGTTATGTTATTGTTCTGTTCTTCATGATTATCATTATTTGATTTAAATTACTTTATTTGAGTTGAGGGTCTTTCAGAAAATCTCTACCTTAAGCCCTCCTAGATCCAACCACGTGTGGGATTACATTAAATAGGTTGTTGTTATTGTTTATGGACCAAGAAAAAATTCTTTCCTAGATCTAAAGTTGCCTCATTGAGATTACATAAAAAAAGTGATAATCATTTTCACCTTCAAACTTTTGTTTTAAATAGAATTTTAATCTAATTAGAAAAGAAGTGACATAGAGACCTTGAATGGTCATCTGAACCTAGTGTTGGCAAAATGATTGACTGTCATGATATGAGATTCTTTAATATGAGCTGAGTAAGTCTAGTGACCCATATCAGCTCATACTAAAAAATATCATTTCATAATAGTCAGACACATCTAGAAGAAGCAAGCCTAACATCCAACTCTCTTGAATAAACTGAAAGCAATTGCAGTCTGAAATTGATGAGCAATTCCTTACAGAGGAGAAAATTTTCATTGTAAAAACAGAAACAATGTGCTCTAACTTATAGAAACAGTGAATCTTATTTCCTTAATAAATTTGTCGATGGCTTAACTCTTAGGAGAGCCTCAAATCCTCCAGAAAGCAAGTAACATTTTATTCTCTATGGGTAACTCTGTTGTCATGATTTTTTCACTTATTTCTTTTTCCATCTACTTTTCCCCTGAGCCAGCCTCTCTACCTCCCAAGGTGGGGGAGGTAGAGGTAAGGTCTGCCTACAGTACCCGTGTTTTGGAAAGCAAAAGGTGAAAAAAGGAACAAGGGCTCCCTTCACTGAAGCAACTCAGTGTGAAGCGAAGTGCGCTCTTCTTTCAACTAAAGCAGAATTTAATATAAAAAAATATTAAATTGAATAGACAAACAACCAAGAACTCAATAAAAATGACATATTAAGCAAATCTTTCAATTCTTAAACTAAAAAGTAACAGATACTAGAACTAGAATAAAAAAGCTACAGATTTTCATTACAATTATAAACAAAAAAAAAATAAACTGAATATTTGTAAGCGCAAATAGGGAAAGCTAGAAAAAACTAACAAAAAAAAAAGAAGAGCTTCAGTAAACTAACAGATGAGAAGAGAAGAAAAAAAATAGGAAAAAAAGGAGGAGACGAATAGAAAACAAAGGGAAACAATTGAAAAAAGAGGAGAAGAGAAAATCGAAGAGAAGAACTTACCTTGAAACCCTAGAATTGTACAACGAGAGTAGCAGCAGGAAGAACCGAAGAAGATGCGTGAGTCTATTGCAAATTTTTATTTTAAATAGCCCTAAAAGTCTTGCTTTTTGTAAAAGCAACGCTTCACGCTTGCCGATTTCGATCTGTACCAGAAAACCCAATTCGATTAAAAACAATTAGATCCATAAAAGAAATTCTAAGTCTGAAATCTACCAAGTTCGAAAATTGAATGCATTCACATAAACATAGATCAGAATTGATGCTGAACCTGAAGATCTAAGGAAGGAAGATGGTTTGCGACAAGCGAGAGAGAGAGGATCGGAGGGGGCTGGGTTTATAGATCAGAAATGGTAAAGATTTCAGTGATCGAACGATTGCTCAATGGGGAAGAAGGGTCATGTAGATGTAAAAATAGTTTTTTTTTTCTTTTAATTGTGTGTGGGATAGTTTTGAAAATAATGCAACGTGATTGGTCCAAAGCCTAGAAATTGACGTCAACGCAGAAAATATATTGAACACAGTACAGTTGTAATATTTGGGTGTATTAGTTTGTGTCATTTATTTTTATTTAAAAAAAAAATTAAATGGTGATAGTAATATTTAGGTGTAATAGTCTTAACTCGTTTGGTAAGCCGTACTAATTACAATAGTCTTTAAATTAAATTTTAGTTCAAATTAATATNATATTTTTTTAAACCAAAATAACCAAACACAAGTTAGCCCTAGAAAACACAAGTTAATGATTCTGAATTTATGTCATGCTACTAAATTTATGCCCTTGATGCATAAACTATATGAATTTATGCCCTGAGACATAATTTGTGTCAAAAACTTATGCCTCGCGACTTGTTTTTGGTTGTTAGGTGTATTTTTTACCATTTTTTGGTCACTTAAAGAGCCGAAGGGCAAAATTTAAAGACCATGAGTTTGAGGGACAAAACTTAAAGACCATTTTAAAATAAGGGCATTTTTGTCTTGCATTCTTTTTAGAGAATTTTGTGTAACCTATCTCTTTATTTATATCGCTATAGAAGATTTATACTTATTAACATCATATATACGTGCAATACATGTATAATATACTAGTCAAAGTGTACGCGTCTCGTGCGTGTCTCTCGTAGTAATAAAATAAATTCAAAAAATAGCATAAATAATATTTAAAAGATAACAATTTAAGAATTTTGAGAGAAAATTATAAATTTTAAATTGATAGTGCAAATAAAAAAATAAAAAAAAAGAAATATAGCATAAATGAAATTTGAGATAGTTGTAGATTTATAGTGTTTTTTACCTTAATAAAAAAGTGAGAGGATAATACCACTTTTGAAGAAACAATCTTCAAAAGTTTTTTAATAGATGATATTTTACTAAAATTATGGATGATCAATAGAGTAAAAAGCATACATTGGGGGGAAGAAATATGACGTTGTTTGAGAAAGTTTTGACATAATAAGCTGTTTTTTGGGATAATTTGAAATTTGGAATATGTAGGGTGGGAATTGCCTTATATCGTATAAGGATCTTATATTATGATAAATACAAATTAATATTTTTTAGGAATAAAATAAAAAATTTATAATATATTTGATAAATTCGATAGAAATAATAATTTTAGGATAATAATGTAGTGTCCATGTAATTTTTCCAAATTCTTATGCAAAGACAAGGGTCCAATTGACTATTCAGCAGGGGCACGCTGCTCTGTTTACAAGAAACGTTAGAGTATACCTCAAAACTCTCCATATCTCCTTAGTCTCTCGATCTCTCTGTAAAGCTTCAACTGCGAATTTTTCTCAAGTGCAGCAGAAAAGGAATTACACTTTTTCCTTTTTTGTCGATTAATATGTATAAGTTAGACCTTTTATTGTAGGTAATTTGAAACTCAATGAGATAAGATGGGTGGAAGTGCAATTTTAAGTGATGGTTGGGAATTGGACGTGCTGGAGATGGAAAAAGTTCAACAGGCAATAGCATACTTGGAAGAAAGGCGTTTAGGTCGATGCCTCAATCTGCTGGTGTTACATCGACCTGTGAGGTCCCAAAGAGCCCAATTGCCAAAAGGCCAAATACTAGATGTGATCGACACGCCTGGTACACATATACCAATTTTCCCGTAACTACTATGATGTGCTTGATCACGGAAATTAAGCTTTTATCTTATAGTAGTCAATTTATTTACTGAATAAGTTTGCTACGTGTTTGCTAAAATGTGTTGATTATTAAAGAATTCTGTACGTGTACATAGTCTAATTTCTGTAACTTGTGCTTTAAATCCGTGCGAATTCATTCAAAACTTCAGCAATATAGAGCGCAGAACTTTCAGGGCACAGACTAAAATATCCTCCAGAAGTGCCTAATACAGAGTGAATTCTCTTAATTGTTACATCACCTAATTAAGATTGTGGCAAATCGCAGGCTGGTCCAGAAATTGTTAGGAATGAAATTGCTCGAT